CCTCCCCGCTGGACGTTTCTCTCCTTACTTTGCCCACGGGCCCTTTTCTTTTGCCCAGGTTCTTTTTTTCCTGGCCGCCCAGCCTTTTTTTGGGGGGGGGGGGCGACGACTTGGAGACATATTTTATCTTCCTGAGAGGCAACAGTAGCCATCATCAGCATCCTACCATTTTTGAAGGGGGGGAGGCATTTCCTTGGGAAAAGTGAATGCCGAATGGGCCTTTATTCATTTATTTGGCAACCTGATGTGTTGGCGGCGCTTCTGACCTACGTCTGGGTGGCCAGTTCACGTCTGTTAAAAGCGCCTTAAGTTGAAAAAGAGTTGAAAAAGAGAGAGAAACCCACCCCCACCAGCCTCCTCCTCTGAAACGGGGCTCCCGGTTCTCTGCGTCTTTCATCTTTAAGCCTCGGCAGCCAAAGGAGGGAGCTGCGGGCCCCCAAATCTGATGCCTTTTAATGAAGCTTGTGAAAAGGGGACCCCTTATTTGGGGATCCCGTGGATCAGCCCATGATCAACCTGGCTTTCCTCCTACAAGGCCCAAGGCGCGAAGAACCTTGTGAGGTAGGCTGGTCTGGAACAGGGGGTAATCCCCCTCCACCCCCATCTAACCAGTAGCCCCGACTGCCTTCTTAAGGGGGCTTTGTGCCACTGACCCATTTGGGGGCCCACCCAACACACTGACCCCCTCGGGCTGGGTTTACACCACACGCAGCGCCACGTAAAACCCCGCCACGGTTGACACGTGAACAGATGCAGCCCTGGCAGCCCTTTGACGGTTCAGGGTGGTGCACGAACGCTGCTGAGGCGTTGCAAATTGCCGCTTCTGCTCTTCACGTGAACCATCAATGCGGCCTAGAGCCGAGGGCTTGGAAGCCTTGTAGATTAACATTTTTATGCTGTTTCGATTGCAAAAAACCAGCCAAGATTTCCTCCCTCAGTTGGTTCTGTAAGGCTGTATCGGACGCCCGTTCCGTGTTTTCCTGCACAATTCAGGGGGCAAGTCTGGGGCCTAAACTGCGCGTCGGTAAGATCGGGTGAATTACAACTAGTCTTGTCAATGAGACCAGATGCAAGACAGATGAAATGTCCTTGGTTCTATTGGCCCCCATAAGCGGGCAGGCTGGGACCCCCCCCGCCGGCTTTCAGATTCCTCTCCTGCCCGTGCCGCTGTCAGAGGAACGGTGGCAAAAAGGTGATCTCGGTGCTCGCGGAAGGGATCCAGCGTGCACATTCGAAAATGGTCGTGAGCAGATGTCTCCCGGGACATCCTCCCACCTGAGGAAAGCGCTCTCCAGTCCCTCTTTTGTCCTCGCAGCCTCCTGCCAGAACTGCGTGAGATCTGCATGCCCTGAAAACGTTTTTCTTACTTCATCCAGCGCGTCCACCATTCCCGCTCCCTCCCCGCTCCCAAAGGCCCCCGCCGGAGCCCCCGGCGTTTGAAAACCTGCCGGGGAACCCGCCGGTCCGGGCGGGGTTCAGCGCCTGAATTCTGGCCCAAAAGCGGCCGGGGCCACGCGCCCGCTCGAGTCCCGCAGCGCGGAAAGTAAAGGAAATGGGCGGAAAGCCACTTACCCTCCTACGCCTATGATATACTTCATCTTCTCGGACGCGGGGGCAGGACGCGGGGGATACTGGAAACCAGTAAGAGAACTGGAGCCTCTTTCGCTCCGAAGCCGCCTCCCTCTGCTCAGCTGGGAGCTGAAGGGAACGGCTGCCGCGCCCGCCCGTTATATACCCTTGCACCCGGGCAAAGCCCCCCCCA